ATCTGTTTTTCTATTGAAGAGAAAATCATTAGTGAGAAAAGCATGTCCATGAAGCATTTCAAATGGACTGAGGCCTAGAATTTGAGGTGTATTTCTTATTTTCAGAAGAGATAACAGTAGTAAGTGAGGCCATTTTAGGTGAGTTTCTTTCTTTCCTTTTTTTTTTTTGGTACTCAGGACCTGGCACTTGTGAGGCAGGCATGGTGCCACTGAACTAAATCCCTGGCCTTAGGTGAGTTTCTTGAACCATTTTATGAAGATGTTTCTTTAGGGTCTTATTCATTTTTTCTACCTTTCCACGTGATTGTGGCCTCCAGGCACAATGAAGGTGATAGAGAATGCCCAGGGCCTGACAGACATCTTGTGTGACTGTTGCTTTAAAAGAAGGCCCACTGGGCCAGGGATTTAGCTCAGTGGTGCTGCCACCTGCCTCACAAGTGCAAGATCCTGAGTTTGATCCCTGGTACCAAAAAAAAAAGAAGGCCCATTATCACTCTTTAAGCTCTTAGGAAGTCCAAATCAGAGGATAATTTCTGAGACCAAAACCTTTACCACCTCTTGTGTCTTTTCTATTCTGCAAGGAAAGGCCTCAATCTAGTTAGTGAAAATATCTACCCTGACCAATACTCTTTGACATGTGAGTAAAATTGAGTTGCCAATCCTCTCCAGGATATTTACCATATCTCTTTATACCTGGAGGGACTATGGTCCAGTTGAGAGGATTCTTTTGGCAGAGTTCACATTTCTTAACTATGCATTGAATTGTCCAAAAGAACCCTTTTTCCGTGAATAATTTAGAGGCTATCTGGTAGATCTTGTCTCTTCATAAGTGAAAGGTTTGATGCAAACACAATAATTTTCCATTGATTAGTGCAGGAAGGAACAATTTTCCATCAGCTGGTTATATCCACCCTGATGGAAGGAATTGGCATCCATGGAAGAGAGCCTACTCAATTTCTGACTGAGTATATTTGGGTCAAGTATTATTAAGAGGCCCTTCCCAGATCAGGGGAGACTGAAGGGGCAGCCCTCTAGCAGCTTTTTTTGTAGCTGCATCAGACAGTTGATTACCTTGAGATAATTACTTTGCTATGTCTTCTACAGTGAATTATTGCCACTTTGGAGGGAATATAAACAGATGATAAAAGTTCATCTACCTGTTTATGATATTTTATGGGAGATCCATTGGCTGTCAGATAGTCTTTTTTCTATATGGCTCCATGTGCATCCAATACTAGGAAGGCATACTTTGAATCTGTATAAATATTGACTTTTTGTCCTTCACTGAGTTGTAAAGCCCTGGTCAGAGCTATGAGTTCTGCTAGCTGAGCACTAGTGCCAGGTTCAAGAGAGGAACTTTCAAGTGTCTGATGTAGAGTCACTATTACATACTCTGCCTTTCTTGTCCCATTTTTCATGAAGGAACTATCATCACAGAAGAGGGTCAAATCAGGATCAGTAAGGCATATGTCTAACAAGTTGTCTCTGGCTGAGTATGTATGGAGAATTACCTGTTTGTAGTCATGTCTTTTAGTCTCAATTTCCTCCTTTTCTGGTAGAAAGGTGGCAGGGTTTAAGGAGGAACATGTTCTTATTTGAATGGATATACAATAAGATCTTTGCCTAAAATCAGCTTACCAGATACCTCTGGTACTAGGAGAGCTACAGGAGATATAGCTCTATGCCATGCAGGTCATGTCTTTGCTACAATGTCTAATTCATGACTTACATACACTACAGGCTATTGAGCAGGTCCTTGATCCTGCATAAGTACTCCCAAAGTCGTGCCCTGCCTTTGATCAACATACAGGCTCAGTGATGGAACATTTAGAAGTGCTTATTTAAGCTTCTGGAAGTTCCCAGGTTAAAATATGGATATCTGCCTTTTGTGCTTTTTTTTATAAGTTGATAGGGAGATCAGGCAATCTCGCCATATCTTGCTATCCAAAGGCAACAAAACCCTTAGCTGTTTTAGGGTCTTGGGTTGCAGGAAGGAAAGTATTGATTTAATTCTCTTTTTTCCTAGCCTTCAGGTTCCTTTAGATATGATAAGGCTCAAATATTTTACCTCAAGGCTGCAAAGTTGTGCCTTAGATCCAGAAACCTTATAACCTCTGTCTGCTAGAAAATTCAGCAAAGCATGGATGCCTTGGCTAGAGAGCTCTTCTGAGGGGGGACAAAATAGTATATCATCTACATACTGCAAGACCATGACCTGGGAAATTTAAAACACACCAAGTTGTGGGAAATTATTTGTCCAAAATGGTGAGGACTGTTCCTGAACTCTTGAGGAAGCACAATCCAAGTCCATTGAGAGGTCTGGTCATGAGGATTTTCAAAAACAAAAAGAAACTGGGAATCTGTATGTAAAGAAATACAAAAGAAGGCATCTTTTAAATCTAATACTGAAAAACAACTGTTATCTTCTGGGATCTGAGAAAGGAGAGTGTACAGGGTTAGGTACCACTAGGTGGATTGGCACTACTGCCTCATTTACCAATCTAAGTCATCTACCAATATCCATTCCCTGGGGTTTTGAACTCCCAAGATTGGAAAGTTGCATGGGCTATTACTTTAAGTAAACCTTGTGCCCTTAAGGTGTCAATAATAGGCAATAATCATTTTTTAACTTCAGGGCTTAGAGGGTATTTTCTCTGGTGAGGAAAAAAAGGTAGGATCTTTGAGATGAATTTGTATTGGGGCAGCTTTTATTGTTTTTCCTATTCTACCTTTAGCCTATACTTCAGGACTTTTTCTGTTTTCACGAGAGGAGGCAGTGTACCTGACCTGGGTGTGTGTAGATTACGTTATTTAAACAAGACATGATATCTCTCCCCAGGAGGGTAACTGGACTTTCAGGCATAATTAAAAAGGAATGGGTGATGAGAAAGCTGTCCCCAGTTACAGACCAAGCAAGGGTTGTGAGAAATAGTGAGTTACTTCCTCTTCAGTGACTCCTTTCAGTGATGTATGATGGTTGGAAGGAAGGCCAGGGTTGAAAAGAAGGACTGAGAGAAACATGCCAGTGTCTAGCAACAGGCTTGTTTCCCCCCCTCTATAGTCATGATTACCCAGGGCTCCTCTATGGAGATTAGAGTCCTACCAGAAGGAAAAGGCAAAGAGTGCTCCAGGATCCTCTAGTCTTGCTGAAACAGCTGGTAAGATGGGTCTGAGCTCTTGGGCCTCCACCTCAGATGGCAGTCCAACTTTCAGTGGTCAGGGCATGGTCCAGGGACCTTATCTCAGTCCCTCTTAAGGAGGCATGGCCTTTTGCAACAGTAGCAGGTAGGTTTAGTCATGGAGCTTTTCTTGGAGTCCTGAGAATCAGACTTATTGTCTCTCTCTCTTTCTTTCTTTCTTTCTCTTTCTTTCTTTCTTTCTTTCCTTCCTTCCTTCCTTCCTTCCTCCCCCCCCCTCTTTCTTTGTACAGGGGATTGAATTCAGGATCTTGCAATTGGGAGGCAGGTGGCAGAACCACTGAGCTAAATCCCCAGCCCTAGAGTCTATTTCTTTTAGAGCAGCTGCTAAGCCTATTGCTTTCTCATGGTCTCTCTGTTTCCTTCCCTTAGCCTCCTCCTGTTCTTGATTATAGAATACTGAGGAAGCAATCTTTACTAAAGCATCAAGTGAGCTATCTGGAGCAAAAGTCATCTTTTGTAGCTTTTCCCTAATATCTGGGGCTGATTGGATAATGAAATTGTCTTTAATAATAGTCTGTCCTATAAAATCAGGAGGCAGGGATGTATGTTTTATCAATGCCTCTTGTAAGTGATCTAAGAAGGCAAAGATTTTCCTTTTCCTACTGTAAGACCGAGGGCCTTACCAAATGCTCCAAGGAGCTGACTGTAGCGAAGAACACCCGTGAAGGAACACACTGGACAAGTTGGAAAGTAAAACAGACCTTTATTAGTCTGGCCAGGTGGCACTCCCAAAGCAAAGTAGCTTAGAGAGGCAACTGGCTCAGAGTCTGAGGCTGTTTTTATAGGGGGTTGCAGGGGAAATTAGCAAGAAAAAAATGTTGATGGTCAAAAGATGTTTGTAGATTGTCTTATAGATAGCTGTGTCCGGAACATCGGTTTCAGACAAACAAGGAGTCAGGTAATTCACTTAGGAACTCTATGTTTGTTACAGATTTTATCTAGTGTCCCAGAACTAACAAGCACGTTTTAACCATTAACTCACAATCAGTTACTATGTTGGGGCTTGAGGGGAGCCTTATGATTACAGAGTTATGCGGTCCCACATTCCCCACTGATTTTACAACTTAAGTAATCTTATGTATAAATGTGGGCATCCATTGTATACAGCAGCACGACAATATTAAGCATACACACACAACTATATGACAAGAAAAAGTTGTTTTAACCATTGTAGGTTGGGCAACCATTTAGTTAGCCACTAGAACAAGTCCCATCCTACTTTTTTATCATGTACCCTTTTAGCCAAGTCTTCCAACTGTTTTATCTTTTTTTAAATTTCTGGACTATTGTCAAGTCAGATTGAAACAACACATATTTTTTATTTTTTACAACCTTGATGATGAAAGAGCAACAAATAGTCTATAGCTGCTCTATTATCTAAGATTGTCTGTCTCTGTTCTTGTAGCTCCTGGTTAATTAATGCCAAGGCTGATGAGGTAGCATTTAACCCTTTGACCACTTTGCATGTTAATTTTTGTACTGCCTTTTCAGCATGGACTCCTATGGAAGGCAGAGCAACAAAAGATGTTATCATAGATACCACTTCAGCATCTGTCAAAAGACCTACATCATCATCACATCCTGGTGCAGTATAAGGTGACCAACGTTTAGTTCTATTTGACATAATCAAATCAAGTCTATCTGGTAAAACTACAGCTAGATGACTCAAGCAGCAATGGGTCTTGGTTAAATTGGCTGGAATATAATTGAAAGTTATTCCTTTACAGGTATAAAACCATCCTGTCAGCAGGGAGATATGGCAATTGTTATATACAATTTTCTGTTTTATATGGCAGGGCATCCCTTTAGATCATTTTATTTTCAGACACTTGGTTGTACAATTTACATACATAGCACATTGGGTATTATTTGACATAATTATCCTGGGTGTATATAATTTGACAGCATTTTTAGGTTTATGACATGAGGAATGCCCCCAATTGTAACTATTGTTATAAGTGAGATTTTTCCCTGGGATATCCTTAAACAAGGTATAGGGCTGTATTAAACTTAAAGGGGTACACAGCAGAATGAGACAGCTTTCTAATACATAATGGAAATTTATATCTATATTCAGACAATTCAGACAGATTAAGTGATTTTGTCAATTGAACCCATACATTTCTGGTGTGGTCCAATTTTCTTGGGGGCAGTACCGCCAATGTTCCAGAGAATATTATCATGAATGAGAAATATCTCCAACCCACCCCAGTCTCAGCTTCCGGTCGCTTGGTTGGCTGATAATCTTCCATTTGTCCTTCGTGATGTCTGCGGGGGGTCCTGCCTTCAGATGGTTGCAATGTATCCAGGCAGAGTGTCCAGTCACCTTCACAGCCAAGGGAGTTGACAGGACAACAGGAACCGGTCCCTTCCAATGAGATTCCAGGGTCTTGGAATCAAACCTGCAAATAAAAACCAAATCTCCCGGCTTATAGGGTAAAGGTTGTACAGGTTTTTCACTGGGACTAGTCATTTTTTCTCGTAATGTCTCATGTAGCTCTGACTGAAGCTGATGAACTGCTTTTAGGGATTTAAGGAGTCGAAGGTGGGAGAACTTTTCTTTCAATTCTACATCTACTAGCGGGATGATTGGGGGAGATCGTCCATAAACAATCTGGAAGGGGGATAGATTCAGGGGAGGTTTGGGAGTACACCTAGTTTGGAGGAGGGCAAAAGGGAGAAGCTCTACCCAACCTAGTTTAGTCTCCAAGCACAATTTAGTCAGAATCTCCTTTAAAGTTTGATTTGTTCTTTCTACCTGTCCTGAGCTTTGAGGCCTATAGGCACAGTGTAGATTCCACTTTATTCCAAGGATATTACTAATTAATTTAGATATCTTAGCCATAAAGGGTGGACCATTGTCTGATCCCAGAGCTAAAGGTAAACCAAAACGGGGGACTATTTCTGTCAAGAGCTTTTTGACTGTTACTTTAGCTGTCTCCCTCTTAGTGGGATATGTTTCTACCCATCCTGAAAAAGTGTCCACAAAAACTAGTAAGTATTTATACCCATACATGTCAGGCTTCATTTCAGTAAAGTTCAACTCCCAATGTTTGCCTGGAGTTAGTCCTCTGTGTTGGACCCCAGGGGGCCCAATTACCCGATTAGCATTTACCTTGAGGCAGGTGGGGCATCGTTTCACCGTGTCCTGGGCCTTTTGGGCCAATCCCTCACTGATGAAATGAGGTCACAGGGCAGCCATCATCCTTTTCTTGCCAAGGTGGGTGGACTCATGTAGTTCTCACAGCAACATATCTGCTACAGCAGCTGGGAGCACCACCTTTTCATCATTAGTCATCCACCATCCATGTTTTCCTTGAGTCCAGTGTCTCCTGTTCATTTCCACTACTTTTTTATCTGTGTATTCAGGTTTTTCTGGGAGTACTGGCATGGGAAGCAGAATCATTTGCTTCCCCACTGATTTTTGGGAAGCTCATTTTGCTGCCTGACCAGCAGCATTATTACCAATCATCTCGGGGCTAAGCCCCTTCTGGTGCCCACAGCAATGGATGATGGCGACCTCTCGAGGCAACCAGATGGCTTGCAGCAGGGCCAATATCTCAGCCTTGTTTTTAATTTCCTTTCCTTCGGAGGTCAGCAGCCCTCTATTTTGATAAATCTCCCCATGTACATGGGCGGTGGCAAAAACATAATGGCTATCAGTGAATATATTTATCCTTTTTCCTTTTCTCAATTCCAGAGCCTTAGTTAAAGCAATCAACTCAGCCCTCTGTGCTGATGTCCCTTGAGGTAGCCCCTGCTCCCATTCCACCTGTTGGTCCTGGTTGACCACTGCCGCCCCAGCATACTGTACATCATCACAAACAAAACTACACTCATCAGTATAGAATGTTATCTCTGCTTGGGGGAGGTCCTGGTCCATCAAATCCGGACATCCTCCCCTCAAGTTTTCAAGAGTCTCAAGGCAATCATGGATAGGCATCTGTTCATAGGATTCCAGGAGTAGAGTAGCCAGATTGAGGCTAGAGGTGGTGGCAAACTTAATGTGTGGCTGTTCTAACAAGAGTCCTTGATATTGTAACAGTCTGGCATTAGACACCCATTTGTTAGGCGAGCTATTCAACAAGGGCTCAATGGCATGGGGACTGATCAAAGTCAAATCCTGGCCAAATGTCAGTTTGTCAGCCTCTCGGGTTAGAGCAGCAGCTGCTGTTACCATGCTCAGACAGGTAGGCCACCTTCAGGCCACTGGGTCTAGTTTCTATGAGAGGTATTCCACTGGCCACTTCCATGGTCCCAAAAGCTGAGTAATCACTCCCTTGGTTACCCCATTTCTCTCCAGTACATACAGAGTGAAGGGCTTGTTTCAGTCTGGCAATTCCAGGGCTGGTACCGACTCAAGCACAGTCTTGAGCAATTGAAAGGCCTGCTGGCAAGCCTCAGTCCATTTGAGGGGCATATTTCCCTCCACAATGGCTTTGTGCAGGGGTTTGGCAATCTCAGTGAAGCCAAGAATCCAAATTCTGCAATACCCAACCGCCCCTAAGAATTCCCACACCTGTTTCTTTGAGCTCGACTCTAGAATCTGGAGAATTGCTGATACCCTCGATTCTGCCAGACTCCTCTTTCCTTTCTCAAGAATATAGCCCAAGTAGGTTACCTTGGTCTGGCAGAGCTGAGCTTTCTTCCAAGACACTTGATATCCCAGGTCTTGGAGGACTTCCAGGAGGCCCTCAGTGACTGCAATACACTCTTCATTGGTTGAAGTTGCCACCAGGAGGTCATCTACATACTGAAGAATAATTGCTTGGGGAAAAACTCTCCTTACCTCTCATAGATCTTTGCTGAGAGCTTCTCCAAACAGAGTGGGGGAGTTCTTGAATCCCTGTGGCAACCGGGTCCATGTCAGCTGTCCGGTAGTCCCGGTGTCTGGGTCAGTCCATTAGAAGGCAAAGAGGGGCTGGCTCACTGGTGCTAGAGATAGGCTGAAAAGTGCATCTTTGAGGTCTAATACCGAGTAGCACACATGAGCAGGAGGGATGAGACTCAACAGAGTATAGGGGTTTGGTAGCATTGGGTGGACAGTCTCCACCTGGCTGTTTACCTCCCACAAATCCTGTACCAGTCTGAAGTCTGAGGTGCCAGACTTCCTCACAGGAAGTAGGGGTGTATTTCAGGCTGACTGGCAAGGGACCAAGATGCCAGCTTCCTGGAGTTGGTGGATGTGTTTGGAGAGCCCCACCTTGGCCTCCAGCTGGAGGAGGTACTGTCACACATGGACAAGGGTAGCAGAGGCCAACAATTGAACCACCACCAGGGCATGGTGTTTGGCCAGCCCAGGTGGATTGGTTTCAGCCCATACCTGGGGAAACTTTTTCTGAAGGTAGTCCCATTTCTGTTTGGGGGGCTCTGCACCTTCCTTTAGCAATTTAAATTCATCTTGTAGGGGAACCATTACCATAATGGCAGAGGGTGGCTTGAGTTTGAAAGTCCCTCCTTCAGGCTCAAAGGAAATAACAGCCCCCAATTTTTGTAGCAAATCTCTTCCCAGCAAGGGGTATGGTCACTCAGGGATAACTAAGAAGGAATGGGTGATAGTGCCTTTTCCTAGATTTACAGTTTGTTTAGTGGTCCAAGGGTAGGAGGCCAACTTTCCTGTGGCTCCAGTAATGGAGGTTTTTAAGGAAGTGAGGGTTCCAAGGGGGGGGAGTCTTCAGGACAGAGTGGGCTGCATCAGTGTCCACAAGGAACTGGACATCTGTTCCCCCTATTTCCAAAGTCACCATAGGCTCATTAGAGTCAAGCGGCCATGAGCCTTGGCCCCGTCAATCTTCTTCATCTACTAAGAGGATTTCACCTTTTTCCTTTTGAGCCTCCTTTTCTCTTTTTCTCTTTAGCTTTCCACAATCCCTTTTAAAATGGCCCTTTTCCTTGTAATAGGCACACTGACCTTTTTGTTTTTAATAAGGGTCAGATCTTTCCCTTGTTCCCTCCTTTGTTTTCAGGTCTTTCTTTCTGGACAAATCCTCCATCAGCCAAGGCGGCTATAGTTGATTTTCCCAGTCTCTTGGCCATTCTCTCTTCTGGGGGATTCCTGTTGTTAAATGCCTTCATAGCTACACTCATCAACTTTTCTCTATTCTCTCCCTCAAATCCTTCTAGCCTTTGCAGCTTCTTTCTAATGTCTGGGGCTAACTGGGTGAAAAATGTCAAATTTATTGCCTGCTGATTTGCAGGGGCATCTTGATCGATTGGAGTATGCATACAGTATGCTTCCAACAGATGCTCCAAAAAGGCAGAAGGGGATTCCTCTGATTCTTGAAGGACCTTGCTTACCTTGCTCAAATTGGTAGGCTTCTGAGCAGCTCCCCTCAGGCTGGCCAGGAGATGCTGATGATAGTTCTGGAGAGCCTCTCTCCCACCTGAGGAATTAACTTGCCAATGGGGTTGGGTGGACAGGAGTTGTGCCTCAATATGGGCCCAGTGCTGTTTATCTAGGGGGACCTCTGCTCCACCTAATACTGACCTTACAGCTTGTCTCCAGATTCTTTCTCTCTCCTCTGAGGTAAAAAGGGCCTGGAGGAGTTGTTGGCAGTCATCCCAAGTAGGATCATGGGTATGAAACATAGACTCCAGGAGAGAGATTAGAGCTTGGGGTTTCTCTGAAAAAGGAGGATTCTGGTGTTTCCAATTGTATAAGTCACTGGTAGTGAAAGGGATATAAACATAGTGATCTTGCTCAGTCTCCCGAAGGGGCAAGAGAGGAGCCCAACTAGTTTCCCCTGCAGGGATCTTGCTAGGTCCATATGCAGCCCAAGCTCACATGTGTGGGGGAGAAGTCACTGAGTCTGGGGAGTGAGGCCCCTCAGGGAGAGGAGGATAGAGAGAGATAGGAGCCAAAGGTTGAACAGACGGTGGAAGGAAAGGAGTTCGGGGTCTAGAACAGGATTTATCTGAGGAGGTGGAGGGTTCCACATAGGGCGGAGGCCCTCCCAAGGGATCTAGGGGGTCAGGTTCCTGTGAGAGTACCAGCTTGGGAGCCTGGGTCTTAAGTCCTTGGGGTCCTTTCGGGGCAGTGACTAAAATGTGAGTGTCTGTTCAAAGAGAACAGCACTGCAGCCAAGCTGGGGGCTCCTCACAAGCCTGAACCCAGATGTCTATGTAGGAAAATTGGTCTGGGTGGCCAGGGTGACTGGTGAGTTTGCCCCACACCTTCCAGCAAATACTGGGGTCAAAAGTCCCTTTAGCTGGCCATCCCACCCCAAAGGCTGGCCATTAGTTGGCACAGGGAGCAAAGTCTTTTGTGAGAAAATTTTTCCCCATATTCATCTTCTTGTTCTGGAGAAAAAGCCAATTTAAAATTAGTGAGAAAACAGTCAAGTGGAGTGGACCCAGTAGAGCAGGATCCTGCCATCACTCTGCTCCTGATGAGGACTGAAAAGAATGTAAAATCAGACACACAACAGACACAACATTAACACATAAAAGACGAGACAAATGGGCACCACGACAAACTGAAACTAAATCTTCCCTTGTTCCTCGTCAGGAACCTCAGGGTCAGGGGAGGCTTCCCGGCTCATCAGCCACCTCGCTCCTGACTTAACAAATGGTTGCAACCGGCCAAAAACTTACATCTGGAGGTTTTCTGAGGTCTGTACCCAAGAGTTTCCTGCTGGATCCCACCACAGAGTCTCGGCTGAACCGGGCTTCCTACCTGGTGATCTCTCTGGGCCTCCAAAATGTAAGACTGAGGGCCTTACTGAATGCTCCGAGGAGCTGACTGTAGCGAAGAACACCTGGGAAGGAACACACCCGACAAGTTGGAAAAGTAAAACAGGCCTTTATTAGTCTGGCCAGACGGCACTCTCCAAGCAACAGGCTTAGAGAGGGCCCCAAGTTCAGGGGGTTGGAAGGTTTTATAGGGGCTGCAGGGGTGCTTAACAAGCAGAACTACAGAAGCGGAATTTTTGCTGTTAGGGGATGGTTGGGGGGTGTTGCAGATGTTCTTTACTTAGCAAACAAGGTGTTTCTTACACAGAAACAATGGTACATTCCTGGTGTTTTAACAGATAAACAAGTACATCCTGGGAACTCTGTGTCCTGTAGTGAACCCAAAACCCAAAGGGACAAGCTGGAGGGCCTGTAACAAGATGGCATTACTTGTGCTAAGTCTCATCTGGGTCTTACAGTTTGAGTATTAAATTCTAGGTTGGGAATAATTTTCTCTCAGGTACAAAGGCATCATTCCTGTTTTTTCCATTTTCAATACTTTACTCTCTTTCTGGGACCTTTTAGTGTCATTTCTTTTATTCTGAAACATATTGTTAAAATAACTTGGTAGGAGTTTAAAATTTTATTTATTGTGCCAGACATTCATGGATCTTTCTTAAATCTGAAAACTAAACTTTTATAAATTTTCTTGAAATTTTTTTTTGGGGGGGGTTACTGGGGATCAAACTCAGGACCTTGTGCTTGTGAAGTAGGAGGCAGAACCACTGAACTAAATCCCTGGTCCTTTCTTGAATTTTTTATAAGAATTCTTTTCTTTTCTCTCCTTTTGAAACTACTAGCATTTGTGAGTTGGATATCCTGAATTGATCTTTTCATTATTTTTTCTACTTGGTAGATTTTTTTTCAAATTTATCTCTATGGTATATTTGAATGTTTAATTCCTTTTGTCATAGGGTTTTTTTTTTAATTTCTAAGAGCTTCTACCACATTTCTAATGTTTTCATTCTACTGTACAAAATCAAGTTTTCTTATATGCCTGCTTGTCTATTTTCTCTGTGGTACAGTGGACTCCTGAGTTATGACCAGCCTGATATTTGAACAACTTGGGTTATGACTGGAATTTTAGTTTTAATTTATAAGCAAAGTCTTGAGTTATGACCCACATGCTGGCCACTTGGGCTTTCAGATGGTCTCAGATACAGATTTAACCCTCAAAGAGTTCTGGAAGGAACACAACATCCTTTCCTGTGTGGGTTTAATTGAGAAATCCTAGGCCAATGTCTCTCTAAGGACATTGAGATCTGTCTGTACACAGGAGAGAGACTTTGAAGGCTGTGTAGTGGAGCCTGAGTCTTCACTGACCAACTTGAATTATAAGCAGACCTTGGGAATGGATTGAGTTCATAAGTCAGGGACCCACTGTATTTGTTTTGTTTTCTCTATTGCACTTTGGAGGTTTTCCTCAAATATTTGGTGATTCTTGAGTCAATTTTATTTAAGGGTAAGGCTCTGGAGGTTGGGTGAGGAGCTGTATGTGAAAGTTCTTGTCAACTGGTGGGTGGCAGCCATAACAGGGCAGTTGTGAGGCATGGTGGCTTTTCAGTGCTCACAACCCAGAGCCCCTCAGTGTCTGGGCTCTTTATTTTTCTCTGGAGAATTCTTCCATTTACTGCCTTTGGGAGTTGAATTGTCCCTACCAGCTTGGTGACAGGAATGAGTTACAATCTGTGCCACAAACACAGAGTAGCTCTCTGTGAGGCCCTGGGGCCTCAGGCCTGCTCAGTAGAGCCTGAGCTGAGTGGAGGTGGGGCTGTCCCAGGTTTTACTGCTCCCTCAGAGGCTGGCTGGCTCTGCCTCCAGCTCAGGCCTCTTTCCCACCTCAGCAAAGGCAAGTCTGGGTCTTTCTTGCCTTCTTCTTACTGCTTTTCTCTTCTATGTTGGCTCAGGCCTGGCCCTGTGGCTTTGTTGAGTTAGTTCCTACCACTCATCTGCCTCTCTCTCTTTCTCCCTTTCTTTCTCTCTCTCTTTCTCTCTCTCTCTCTCTCTCTCTCTCTCTCTCTCTCCTTTTCCCTCTCTTTCATTCATCAGTTAAGTCCATGACTGCCTTTGTGGTGTTTAAGAAGAGTATAAAGGTAGAGTTTATCACTTTAACTTTATGCCTCTTTCTTTCTTCCCCTTGGACAATGTGCTGTCCTCCCCATCTCAGTTACCCTGGGAGCACAGTATGCCATTATTATAGACAGCTGAGTTAGGTAGAAATATCGGTAGTCAGATAAGGCTAGCCCCTGAGAGAGTCAGGTCAAAGGTAAAACATATTACAACCATGGCTGGAGATAAATCCATTGGAGACCAGGCCTCAAGATTAAGATGAACTGACTAGGCCTGCATACTTCCTCAAAAGAAAAACACCAAGCCCAGTGAAGTCTACATAGATACCAGTCATCCCTGTAGGTGACCAAGACCTCCATCATTTCATAAAAGTCTTTGTTCTTTCCATGCACACTTGTTATGTGACTTGTTTCTCTATTGGGTCACTATTACTTAGCAACTATACTTGTAACCTTATTGGTTGATCATAGCTGTAATTCACCATGTACCCATCTAGGTTTGCTCTATAAAACTTCCCTATAAAGTGGGGTCCCTGGCTACCCATTCAGGTCCCCTCCTGCCTCACAGGAGCTACCCTCTCAATAAATATCTTCCTACTCCTAACCTCCTTTTTTCCTAGAATTATTTTTCTGATTTTAGAAAACAGAAACTCTGCATATCAAACATCTAATAGGTTGGGAGATATAATATTTTCATACTGGAGATACAGATATGTGTTTGCTTGTTTTTATCATGTCATGTATATCTCCCATAACTTTCCTACACTTTCTATCTTATTCTCTCACTGTGTTTCAATCTGAGTATGCTCTACAGCATCCTCGGCAGGTAATTTTAGTTTTACCTGTACTATTCTAGCATGGCCTTTGCTTTAGTGTGAGTATATGAATTCAGCTTGACATGACTGCAGGCATCTTGAATGATAACCATCATGATTATCTCTGAGTAACCCTAGTTGGTTTTTCTTCACACTTCCCCAGCATACTATAAATAGAACAATTAGAGTGATATGTGGAGCTTCACAACAAGTCCCTGGTGCCATCAACATGGGAAATGTGCCTGATGTTTTTGCTGTTAGCTTGAGATAAACCAGATACATTCCAGCCAGAATGAAGTCATTTTTGTTTGTTTTTTGGTGGGTACCAGAGATGGAACTCAGGACCTTCCACATACAAGACAGGTGGCTGAACCACTGAGCTAAATCCCTGGCCCATGAAGTCATTTATGTATTGTCCATTTCATAAACCTTCTTACTTCTGACTCAAATCATGGGAATCTACCTGGTCATGCTACTTTCAGTTAAGTCCCCAGGAAGTTGCACTCAGTGCAATCTTGGATCAGCCTATTATTTTTTCTTGGATCTCTTGGCATCTTAGAAGTGGTTCTCAGGGCAGAGAAGCTCAGCTGGTCCCAGCACCTGGAAGGAAGCTCCCTGCCTCCATCACAGGCTCCTAGGGCAGAGAAGCTGAGCAGGTCCTAGAACCCGGAAGGAAGCTCCCCTGCTGCCATCCCAAGCTCCTAGGGCAGAGAAAGTGAGCTGCATGGGCACCAGAAGCACCCACCACCCTGGGGGAAATGAGAAGACATGAAAACAAGTCTCAAAAACAGGCTTCTGGTCACCTACAGCAACCTCAAAGGGAAATGAGATGGAACACTCTGATACTCAACCACCTGGACTCTCTGAACTGGCAACAAAAGAGGATCTGGGAAAAATGAAATCA